AATGACCTTAATGATGCATACCATACGGTCAAATAAAGCGAGTTCGAAGGTGATGAACAATTGTTTAATGCGTCCACCTCCACTTGTTACAGAACAAATGATAAATTAAGTACGCTCTATTCTTTTGGACAGCGGCCAGTTAAGTGTAAAACTCTACGAAAAACAATAATTTCACGCAGTTTATCTTAAAATGTTCAACAATCCACTAATATAGTTCGCCGTCCGCGATCACCTCCGTCATGCTCTATCTCACTTGAAGTCCTTCAGAAAACCACCTAAGACACCTAGACATTATAATGCGATTTCATCACAAAGTTGATAAAAGCCGTTGTGATCTTCATGGCTAAAGAAACACTTTTCCCATATAGCTGATCCGTTACAATGTGCGCCCCCTCAGTGTGGTATTGGTTCTTGATGTGAACATCAACAATTTAGGATGTACTACCGTACCGATGAAACGATTTACATATTCTGTGTCCATTTTACCGTGTGTTAACCGCTTTACTATTCTACAGTACTGCCACCTATTGCAATCAACAATCAGCGGTGACATTTTCGCTGTCCATTTCTAACCTGACTGTCCAGGTAAGTGTTCGACAGTGTAAATATCCTCTCGCGCACCTGATAAACTTACACCATTCCCCAAACACTCCCTTTTCGTTACTTATTTACGTAATGACCTTAGTGCATTAGATACACATGAAAGAGATGGCAACGAAGCATGGTTGTCAGCGGTGAAACTGTCAAAGATTACAGTTACCAATATAATACATGCTCACATCACTTTCGTTTGAACAGTCATCCTCCTGTCTTGGCGTGGTCATTCTTGTGGTGAGTCCACACCACAGGAGGGGGCGCCGCACTCGAGTTTCGCTCTTATTAGAGGTCAATCCCAGTGTATCATTGGCCGTGCCGGGTTTGAACTCCGCACATCTGACATACGAGGCTACAGTGATGTGAGCGTGAATTCTACGAATACCTCAACCAGCTACAAATGAAGTGAAGGTTGTCAAGTGTCTGTGGTTCTATCTGACTAAGAAGCTCTAGCAGGCGGGCCGGACAATCGATCGGCACAACCAAAACAGCTACCGAGTTGTCATCCGAGCCATCGGACCAACCAGTCACATCGCTCAAGCGTGAACATGTTAGCCTGTTGAGGCATGGAAATTCGGATGCGCCCAGCATGCACTGATGGAGTAGTGGCAGCACACTCGTCTCGTGTGTCAGATGTGCTGCGTTCAAGCCCCGGGCACGGCCGAGTATATGCACCCCTGATGATCTCTAATAAGAGCAAAACTCAAGTCCAGTTGTGCAGACTTACCAGAATGATTGCGCCAGGACAGGACGATGACTGTTCAAACAAGAGCGATGTCAGCGTGAATCCCACGCTCCCGCAACCACCTTCAACTAATTAATAGTATGTAAACTGTAGTGTTGTGGAACACTACAGACAGATCTTCCTAAATTTGATGGCGTTCAAAATTCTCGAAAGTTCGGTCCAAGATACCCCTTTGATAATTAAGAAAACACCACAGGCAAATCATTGGGTCAGTGTGACTCCTCTAAGGAAGGACGATGTGAGAATCTGACGATCCCAAACCCAAGTTGATTAACATCTATTGATCTTATCGTTTCGCATAATTATCGGGCCCTTGATGAACTTCCTTGCCAGTCAATAAACAGCGTAGTATACAAAAGTTCGAAGAACGCGTGGAACCATCAACTACCATTGAAGTCAGGATGTGCTTTAAACCTATACACTGTAAACCATCGAGCAAATTTGGACGCAAATCTCGTCACTTGCCCAAGCCCAACAGACTGCGGTGCAATGAACTATCTTGGCTATACGTTGAACTATATATAGGGTCAAACTGTCCACCAGCGCGTCACTTGTATTATCTTTAACTTTTGTACTACACCATCACTTGGAATTCTTCGTTGGAAAGCTGATAGGCTGAAAGGCCTCCTGAAAAAGACATAGGAAACTAATTATCACCGATTATCGCAGTGGTGATCCATTGTCCGGAAGTGAAGCCACGGTAGACGTAACCGGATTTATCTCCTCTCTATCACCGATTATTGCACGCACAAGAAGTTGGTAGCCCAAAAGTACCAGATAATTGTTGATGGATAGATAGATATAAGACATTAGGTGAATATTTGATGGAATGTGGGCAGCTGAGTACACGAGAAAACAGCGATGGAATTAACACGTTTGAGAAAAATGTCTGACATAAAAGAAAAATACTGATCGTCTACGAAAGACTTGGGATGAAACGGGTCCTAAGACTAAACTACTCATCATTTTCAAAACATGTTTATCTCGTCCGTGGTTTTTTCTATAATTATCACTCCACGGGTATATATCATTGTCATTACCATGCGTTTCTCTGTGACGCTCAATTTCATCGACCCATTATTAGTCCACTCTACATACTACTAACATCTTCGACGATACTAGTTCTGGCGGGGGAGTACTGATCCACATATTGTTAAATGCTATCAATTTATTTAGATTAAGGAAAGAAAAACGGAGGCGCAGGGAACTGGCACTAACCTACCACCAAAAAGTAGATGACCACACCTCTTGTGAAGCCATCAACAAGTTGCAAACAAGAACACGGAAACCCCAAGCTAAAAGGCGGACAACACCAGTGGCATCAAGACTTTTCGTAAGCTGCATGATGTCCTGCTATAATATACTGTATGTGCCAGCAGTTCAAAGTCGTTTACATAGTAGAAGATGATTCACACACCAAGGCAGACCACAGCTTGGCAGACGCCAACAATAAAATTAGACCCACGCTCAGTGTACCCGGTGTTCGAAACAATTTTGCGCTTCTGACCTGAAAATCAAAATCGCTAGTGATTGTAACAGAGAGAGTGGAAAAGCTCAGTGGTTAAGCGCGAGCTTGCTAGCCGGAATATCCACGTTTTGAATCCAAAACCGCCATCTCGACTGCTGGGTGTAGGCTTGGCCGACCTAGCAGTACCTCAGCCTTCAAGCTTCCTTCAAATAATATTGCAACTATGCACCAAAATGGTGTTGCCGTTGAAGGATCATTATTATTAAGTGGTGGTGGTGGTCATGGCGGCGATACTATTAATCCGCCAACGCTGTTTGCTAGACCGGGGCTTCCTGGGGTCATAGTCAGTGACTTTTGTTTGCTCGCTTTCTGAGCAGGCACGACAGTTTAATGCGTGGCATATGGTGATGAGTGTTCAGTCTCGCCATTCATTTTCACACCTGAAACTATACGACGCCTTGTTCCCTACGTGCGAGTCTTGACTGTGCTAGCGGTTACTGCGCCTTGATGTGCAAACAGCATTGTTTGTCCTTTCATTTGTTATGGTGTTTCCGGGATGTGTATCGTTCATATTCACATCACCCTCGTTTGGACAGTCATCCTCCTGTCGTTGCGTAATTATTCTGGTGAGTCCATACCAAAGGAAAGAAGCACTGCGCTCGAATTTCGCTCCCATAAGTGCTCATCAGCAGTTCACATCTAATGGCCGTTGAACTCCGGATACCTGACATGTGAGGCAAGCGTGTTACCACTACTCTGCCAGCGCACGTTGGACGCATCTGAATTCTCTCGCCGGAATGGGCGAACGTGTTCACGCTTGAACGATATGATTGGTGTGCTCGAATCATCATCGAAGCCCCGGCCCAGTAACTATCCTAGTTGAAACGATTGATTGACTGATAATCTTCACGCCTGTTTCCATGCCAAACAAACGTCGGATATCATTTTGAGTGAGTGAAAAATTATTAACGGTACGCCATCGAATGAAACGCTTCTTTTTTCCTAATATTCTCCCGTACATTTTTCCACATCTATCCATCGCACTTTTGTGTTTACGATCACGCCCTTCAAATATAAGCGATACAAGCACTATTCGTGACTCAAACATAGTACTGCAACAGGCAAAACTTGCAGTAAATTGCTAATAAATGTAATGCTCACGTGGTCATTCTGGAGTACGACCATCGGGTTCACAAAACCACACCCGAAGTTGCAGTTCTGATGTCGTCAGACCTGATTGTAGTAGCAGGCCAACCGATAATAATTTAATTGGCACCGTTAGGGATCAACCGGCTGACTATCTTAGACAGTAGCAACAGTGTACCAGTTGGACAAACATCACACCCAGCAAGACAACCAAATTTGGAAGCCTTTCGAAAACAACGTTATATTCACCGCTAAAATTCAAGTCTGACCTAAGGCCTTATTAGCAACAGCGTATGCCATATAACAACGACCAAATCACACAGCAATACAAAAACGTGCGTGTAAAAGTGATCATCCTGTCGATATCTGGTGTGAATCGAGTTCCGACACACAATACACCGGTAGATACAGTGAGTTTGCTGACCGGTAAAACTGGTCCAGGTCATGGTGAGCACTGTAAATGACGCGCTGCGCAATGTGTTACCCGGCGATGCTTGGTTGCTGCCCCTAAACAGGAATTACGAGTGGCTTCCTTCCAAAGAGCTTTGTTCGACAAGTCGTACGTAAACGAAACTATCAAATGAATGAAGAACCACAAGAACAAATGTTCCAGATGAAATGAAATTACTGCTCGTGAAGTGAAACCAGTAGGCCCGTGGATCTTCTTTCGACACCTGCTAACGCTTTCATATACATATTCTTGATTAATCACACAATTTGATGAGACAGCGCGGAATAAACTTTGAACGGATTTCATCCCATAGGGACTAGAATAACCTCACAACGGAACAGAGTTTCCAGTATTCAGGAACGCCAAACTTACTTTAGTTTGGAGTAAGCACGATTCATCAACGACTGCATTGGGATGAACACAGCCATCACCGCGGCCCCGCATATCGTTGGAACAAGTGTGATTTCTCCCATTAGATAGAAGACAACCAGTGCTTGCAGAGGTCCAACCCATGCGTAATGAAGGAACATAAAAGTCTACAAGTTACAAAGGAAACATGGGGGAAAAATGAATCGTCATTATGGACTACCAACAACCCATTCGGAAAACCGGAATAGAAGTAATAGGCAACAATACACTCACTAGGTACCCCCAAATACTGACAATCAGAGGGTGACATTGAGCAACGCTCAGATGAAGCGTCTATGCGACAAGACAAAGTGGTCCTGTGTTTACATATGATCAATCTCCTTGGGAATATTCAATGGGATGTGTATCACGAATGGTAAACCGTGAAAGCGTGTACGGAAAAAGCGCTTTAGCAACATTCATCAGGTTGATGGATCGCTGGTGCATCGTTATTGATAAAACACTTTCCACGCTTCTTCTTAAGCCGAACAATAAAGCATTGCTTTACACTGCACCGGTGAACCGATAAAAAGGCGCATTCTCGAAACAGTTAACGTATGCGAGTAACACTAGAAGTCCTACATCGGATCAAAGCAGAAGAGGATAAACGATACTTTGGCAGCGACACTGGGCGATAATTATGCAAATCCCTTTCAAATGATAGAGAACTGTTTTCACTCGTGAATTGATAACTGAGACATACGCACGCGATAAAAATATTTCCCATTCTACTGAGACCGTTATTTTTTCTCTTGGCTTTCAGAGGAAGTAATGATAACATAATGAACACGATGTTATTGATGACAATGATACATAAAACGGCTACAGTTATCATATAAATTCCACAGCATCTCTTGTTATGTTTCGAGGCATTTGGACGGTAAACAACACGTTACCGAAGGCCTGGAGATGGTAGATAAGAGAAAAAGTCTAAAAACATAACTGCTTCAGCACTGTGTGTTGGTACGGAACGGGTCAAACAAATGAGCCTTCCTGGAAAATTCCACCTTTCAAGGATAGTTTCGGTCTTCGGCTACCCCAGCAATGAGGTTGAATATCGTTCGAGATAGCTGAGTGCCCTTTCGCAACCATAAAAAAGGACTGCACAAGACACATGAAAGTAATATCGATTCAGCAGTATGACTAACTTTCGCATTAATACTAGCTGAAGGATTGTAAACGCGTCAGTAATGGCTATATATATAAATGTATATGTATATGTATAAATTTTCCAATCTCCATAATGTGTGACAGAGAAAACGCTGCTAAATTGGTATGTTTATTACGAGAAATCGCAAACTCATCATAACAGTGCGCAGTTATCTGCATCCAGCGGACAGCCTTCAGTATATTCTGGAGCACGTTTGTTTGTAATAAGCACGACCAGCTCTCAAATCCCTTTCGGCCTCAACGATTGTAATCGAGAATGGTTTGACATGTTGCAGCATGCGAGTGTCTTGCCGAAAAGGTTCAGTCAAGCGCCAAATGGATCACCTTGTAAATAAACCATTCGTGGCCACTGTGGACAACGGTGACTAGACGGAACCCATTCAGGTATTTAAAAATGTCGCCCTAACAGATGAACCACCGGTATTTGGTTTTCCTGCGGTATCGATACTGGTACCACTGTACGGCCCATTGTGTCTAGAATGTCGCCATTGGCGGTTGAAACGCTTAGGAGAAAACGCTGATCAATGAGTAAACAGTGAAGTTCAATATCGCCCAGATGATTTTTTCACATTGATGGACATACTGCCACACCTAGCTTATTCCATGGCCATTTCACTATACTACGAAAAAAATGCAAACGATTTGTTTCCACATCACTTTTCACCAGAGGAATTAAACAATTCAACGGAGACACGTGTCTTTTAAGTTTCGAAGACAGCAGACTAAAACTGACTTGATTTTCTTCAGCGTAAAACAAAGGTCACTTACAGGCATCCGATTTATCATTATCACCACCAACATCATAATCATCGACAGCATGACATCAGTGTTCAAAACCGATGCTTCATTGTCGTACAACCATGATTTATTTGAAACGTTGACGGAGAACGGACCTAGTGCTAGCTTACTACAATCATTTCAAGGTGCATACACCTCCAGATACTCATCTAGGCAATCTGGATAGAAACTGACAAAAAGAACGCCATTGACATCGCTTAGCGGTTATATCTCTCGATGTTTCCAACCAGGCGCAGTGGGAATCATGCGGTCTCCATCCTGGAAGGCGAGTAGCACCTACAACACCCAAGCGTTTCATAATCTCCTACATACCCATCTGCCAGGTCAAGGATTGGCCGCCTCTCTGAGCTGGGCATGGAAAACAGCACTCTTCGGCAAACGATGGTTAGGCATAGGCTACACATGTCCCAACCAACGCAGATTCTGGTGCTGGACACATTCTTCAATGGAAGTACCAGTAGCAAAACCAAAAACTCGCTTTCCAATTGCCTCGTTATAGATTAGCCGACAAAATCCCACACGAGCTATGGTTCTGAGACAGCGACTGTCGAACACCGGAAGATGTTTCAGTTCCGCTGCTCGAACAGACATACAACACAGCATACGACAAGACAACCCGCACTGTAGCTCGATACACACGTCCCTTGAGATTCGGTGACACACCACTTTGACGCCATAGGTGTTTCAAGTCAGAAAACGCGATCCATGCCTTGCAGATTTGTGCACTGACCTCAATCAGAAGTTACACAACTTCCAAGATACGTGAAACGCTCCACAACTCCCAGTACCTTCCCTGGATCGTAAGTGGCGTGTTCAATGACCGCATTTCCAGAAGCATGACCTTACACCTTGTGGGTGCAAAGTGCATACCAAAGTACGAGATGGCTTTGGCCAGTTCATTTAAAAGCACCTGCGCCTTCTCCTTTCCGGAGATGCGAACGATGTCGTCTGCACATTCCAGAACGACAAGGTTTTCGTCACAAACTATTTGAACACCAGGGTTTTGGAGACCCTCCAGCGTTCGTCTCATGATTCCCTCGATCACGAAGTCAAAAAGGAACGGAGATAATGGGTATCCCTGATGGACAGCACTGTGTGTACGGAAGATTCTGGAAAGCTCGCCATATACTCTAACACGTCCGGAAGTCCGAGAATACGAAAAGCTTATTATGTTGACGAACTTCTGAAGCATTCCTTGGTGGGCAAACGTGTCAAGCAGAACAGACTGGTCGAACGTGGGGCGACGAAACCCAAGTAACGCCAACTGTCTCGTTACGACCGGGGTCATGCTGATCCCCCTATGGTTACCAAACTCACTGTGAGCCCCTGTTTTGAAAATAGGCACTATAACCTACTCTCCCCAGTTGTCTGGGACAGACTCCTTTTCCCAAATGCGAGAAAACAGCTCAGACAAGCACTGACTGAGGACTTCACCCCCACCTGTGAACAATGCGGGTGGGAGGTCACCTGGACCAGAAGCTTGATGACGCTTGAGAGAACATATGCAGTCGTAAACCTCCGAGGCCGTAGATGGTTCCACGTTGACTAGCCGGGGGTTTACGTCAACTTCGGGCTCCAGATGAGTGACAGCCGGTGGTCACGACAATTGCTGTTCGAAGTAATTGGCCCACCGGTGATTTTCGACGACCCATTGCACGGAGCGGCTGAAATAATCTCCGGGCCTTATCGGCTTTCTGGGCCTTCTCCATTTCCTTGGCTTTCCGTGTTCACCACACTTCACGGTCTGCTCGCATGCTCTTTTTCACATGACGTCTGATACTTTGTCGCACCAGGTTATGTTCGGGACTGGCTGGGATATTTCTTCGAGACTTAAGCAGTGCCACCGTTCTGTCTGATATCCAGTGCTTGAGTGCGCCTGGTGGTGCCGCGCCACAGGCGAAATTCCCAGCAATATGCAGAGGTGGCTATCTCGTCCCAGTACGCGTTGACGTCTGATGGTGTTGCATTTGGAAGATACGCTAGAAGACGACTCTAGTAAATTCGTCTAACATCCGGATCTGTCAGTCTCTTAGTTGCCAAGCGATTTGTCCGCACCTTACGAAGCCCAGGAAAACGTAGGGAGAAGCGACTCCGGACGAGTGCGTGGTCGGAATCCACAAATGTGTCCAAAACCGACCGGCGGTCAGTTACTGATCAGCGCTATCGGTAACTGATGGTAAGCAGTGCCACCGTTTGGTCTGATATCAAGTGCATGAGTGCGCCTGGTGGTGCCGTACAACAGGCAAAATTCCCAGCACTATGAAGAGCTGTCTATCTCATCCCAGTATGAGTTCAAGTATGGGTTCGACATATATTTTGCATAAACCTGCACTCGCTTCACACCTACAACTTTGTGTTACCTCTCTATAGCGCACATTTATTATCTAGGGGATCTCGTACGTTACATTCACGTAGCATCGGGGGCACAGAGACAAGACGCCACCTGTGGAGCATGTGAATATGTTGGTTTCAAAAGGTTCGTCTATTTTGAAAGTTCGTGTCAATTGGGGTTGGTGGATTTGGGAAGAAAATTTTCATAGATGTATGACATTAGAATGGTATTGGTATAAGAAACTAAAACAGAAGTACATCTATCAACAAGAGATGTCAAAACGTTTACAAATCAGGCAACCAAAGTTCCTGATATGTCCACAAAAATTATCCGAAGGCGCTGGGATTGATGACAAAATTTCTGAACAAAACCTTCACAGTGTCTGAAAAAACTTAAAATTATCTGTCGACCGATACGTAGTCAATGTCATTTCAACATGATGCCACCAGGTTCCTGAAATGCACTCAAGGCGATAGGAAAGGATCTGCCGGGGACACCACCACATCCACAGGAAAAAAGTTGTAAAGCGTCTACAATAGATGAGAATTTAGACAAAACACTCTTCTTTGTTGGTCACTGACAGTTTCCGAGGATCAAACAAAAACAAAAGATCTGTGGTTAGGAAATTTGATCACTGTTGGCCGCCGGAAGCAATAATTCAGCTCCAGCACTCCTCGCAAAGTGAACACATGGTCGATGAAACTCCTGCCTAGATGAAACGGAGCTTGATTATCGCAAGTCTTACTACAGTTCAATCTTCGTAGGATTACATCACAGAAAACCCTCGAAGTTATGGATAAAAATGACGCCACAGTGATTTTCACACAATGTTTATGCATCATTGTTGGATATGAGAAGCACTATCATGGCAAACCATTCAACTGGATTTTTCCGCATTCCGGATATGTCAGGGTAAAGCCGTTACGTCGAACACGGCAGTGTCAACAAGTATGGAAAGCGCTTGGTACAAATAGTCCGGATCAGGTTCATTACGTGCTGCAGTAAAAATATTGCACGCTGGACTTACCTTAACGATGACGGACCGATTTCCACGTACCACTTGGAATCAGCTATTCCGTCCCAGTTGAACTGTTGTTCATAGTGTTCAGCCCATCGTCCAAGCCCTGTCCGTGAGGGTCCGTCTATTGTGAGGACAGTTTCAGTAACACCTGCTTTTCTCGGACCAGCTGATTGGATTATCTCAGGCAATACGCGCTTGTACTCTTGGTTCAAACTTTCTCGATTTTCTGGTTTTGCGGCACACAGATAGACTAAGACGACCCCTAAGCTCACCATTATTTGGCGTTTGAGTTATCTCCGAACGCCATCACAGTCGTTTGTCATAGGTATTTTTCATGGCCCTAATCAGACCTGCCATCCTGGCGAGATCCAATGTTCATCCAGGTGTGCCGGCAATCCCGGACAGACGGTCTCACAGGCCAAGACATGGTTTATTTCACCTTTTCACAACAAACTTCCATATCCCCACGACAACTCTCGTAACCGCCACAGTAAACAAAACTCGATGCTGTTCAGGTGATAAGTTGGGTGGATTTGTGTTAACCGGGTTCATCAGAGGGACAGACGCGCCTGACTAATGTCTTGACTGCGGTCATGTGGTGTACCCAAAAATGAACGATAATCTTGATGAAAGCTCTCCACGGGTAACTGATTGTTACATGGTTCATTTGAGGTCATGGCTGGCTTGCATTTGTTGGCCTTCCAGGCTACACAGTGTGTTTTGAAAGTTTCTACTGGCCACGAAGGAATGGTATATACCACATAATTGAAATAGTCTTCCCCATTGTCTGACCGGTAGGCGTTAATACAAATTGACCTCCAAAATAGGTTTCACCATGGAGTATTCGGCAAACATGAGAATTCATATCACTTGACTGAGTCACTATATCCGCACTATTCGCTGACCGGAGCGACCGTGATTAAACCATGAAACCTGAAGGCGCGTAGACTGGAATCCGTTCAAGTAAAATGCATTCGGAACAGGTTTCACACCGTAAATACCACGCGCAACTGCGTCAGGATCACCAAACACCCGAAGAGTAATGTGCAAGAAATCTAGGTTCACTTCGAGCGTTTTGAGGTGCATGTGTGTTGCCGGGACACAACAGACATTGATTAAGGGTCAAAGATCTATCTGTTCCCATATATGACACGGTACAGGCATTGAAAGCAGCAAAATAAAACAGACATCCTGAAGTTGCTGCGGGTAAGGGCGCATGATAAGTCCCGGGTTACTCAGGTCAATGAGTGGGTTTTTGTGAGTTACTCTACTCTGATCCTTCGACTCAAACATCTAACTAAAAAATCATTAAGGGAATGGAAGATTTTTCTCTGGGATGCCTCAACTTGCCTTTGAATCAAGTGTGAACTGCGGGATAGCTATCATCACGGTCTTTTCAAGGAGCCTTCCCGAAACCACTGACTCAAAACTCTGGCCCACTTGAGTGAAGAGCGCCGGCCCAGCACGTGGGTGCAGGGGCTAAGGCATGTCTGACTTCTAATGTGTCTGCACATAGCGTGTGCCTTTTGAGGAGCAACAGACTGGTTTTTAAAGTATTTCGACCGTACCGCACAATAAACCGGCGTCCATGGTCAACCGCTGAGTTGTTTTAGCGACTGTCCCTTTCTAACCGGTTCTTTCTCGGTGGATGTAGCATCATTGATTATCCAAGTATTGGCATTCTAGTCATCTGAAACAACTTCCTACTTTATTCACATTCCTGATTCCGAAAGCGGTAGGACTTCACCTTAATACCGTTTTGTAATACGATTTCCTGCTATGGAAGACTGTTTTCTATCGGCCTCCTCCCCATTTGCTTTCCATGCATGGCGGAATCTTATGAAAATGAGCCTGACCTTGTGCAGACCACAGAACCTTATGAATATGGAGTAAACCAAGATCAAAGCTTGTGATAGGCGTTAACCATCCGGAATTTATTTAGAAACTTATAACCATCTGCTGTCTGGTAATGGGATGTTTGTATTATGTTTGAACTCTATTTGCGCAACTGGCATAAAGACTAGCTGGACCCCAGCCAGGTTCAAGTGAGCTAACAGTTCACTCAACCCACTGGAAGTTCTAATTATTCATGTCACCCCATCCTTTACTATTAGCTCCGTACATAAACTTGCCTGTCATGGTCACTTATTTATTTGCTGGCATTGTCACTGCAAGTTGTCAGTGTAGGCATTATCTTGCTTAACTGCGCAAGCACGGTCGTCTTGTTTGTTTATCCGGCTGAAAACGTCTATATATAACATTCTCACCACCTGCTATTGTATTGCCGGATTCATTACCGTGTGCTTTCACACTGCCCGACATGCATATTGGTCGCATGATAACCACCTCTTATTGACGCTCTCAGGTCCCACAACGCTAAGGTTACTCTTATGATCCAAGGAGGCAGCTCCAAAAAATACCATTCTGATGGCAACCTTTATAACCTGTGCTGAATTGTTTTTTCTGCCCGTAGATCATCATCAGATTCTTTGCGATTTTTTTAGCTGCTGAAAAGCAGACCGACATATCCGCGATGATGACGATTCCATTTTCGGTTTTCGTGCACATCAGACTGTGTATCGATTTTATTCCCATTCCCAGTATACCGGTTGATCGGACTTCGCTGATTACAGCTGGAAATGCGATTGGTTTCCCCATTTGGAACAAATGAGGTTTTATAAACGCCAAGGTCCTCAGTTTAGTCTGCGATTGGTTTTCCCATTTGGAACAAATGTGTCATAAACGCCAAAGTCCTCAGTTTAGTTGATTTTCGGTTAGACGCAGCTTATTCACCAGCGATACCCTTGTTGGGGGATATTTCCGCGGATGATTCTGGATTCTTGCTTAGAAGACAGTTAACCCCATCTCGTGTTCCTTCCATCATAGCGATCGAGTTAAAAATACCGAGCTGCTTGCCTCGGCATTTTCCCAATGTAGCTGTTGTAAAGTGCTGACCGAGTGTGCTTTTTCTCACTAAGACAGTTCAACTCTACCAGTATCACGGATATTCTTGTCATAGTGAAGCGATTATGTTTTTAAACTTATACAAACTGACTAATGGTTGAGCCATGTCCCATTTTTTTGGACGTGGATGTGGAATGATAAATAAACGTATTTTACACCGATGAGACTTACCAATTCAAAACGCTGTGCATCTGTTGACAGAAGATTGATGATATGTCCGGCTGACGAATTCACAACTGATTTTTGGTTCAGCGATAGGACCTGAAAATTGAAGATCAAGACACTCGAGTGTCTGTAATACCTTCTTATAAATAAGTCCCGATGCTGCGACTCTCAATCTCATCCCCATTCGATATACCATCCAGAAAGTTGCATTCCGAAGTAACAGACCAAATAACGCTATCAGGACCAGGGCAATACTATACACAATGGCGTCAATTTTATTCTGTTCGATAGACAGATCTCTGAATCCAAATAGAAGTCTGTTCATGAAAATGGGTCTAACACTCAAGCAGACAATCTGAGAGTACAAAACGAACGTAAATTTGAGCTTACTTCGGTCAAAATTGTGATAGCTGTGTAAACCATGTATTTCAACTGCGCCCTATAAACCGCTCTGTGTAGACTGGGACGAGGTTTTCGTTTTTCTTGCTCCCAATGCCTAATTTATAGAAACAAAAAACGAAACACGCTTACTGCTCCAATTTACCAGTGACATAATCTGAACCCTCTATTTCTGGCCTCCTATAAATGGCCTCTGTTGTAATCGGCGACCTGGCTGCCTCTTTGAGAGTGGGGTTTAACCACGTGTAGAACATTCTCGAAAAAAAGTTGGCCTTCTCTTCTGGACATTGCTCCATTGTAACTATACTGCTTGTCCTCTGCTTCTTTCATCAACGTCCACAGATAACTGATATTAAGCAATGCGCCAGACTAGTGGATCCTCAGGTTGATGTAGTAGTTGGGGCCTTGTCGCAACAAGGTCAGTTCAAGAGTTCATATGGCATCGGGCACAGACAGACGATATAGGCTACTATATTAATTGCCAAATAACTAACAGCCGTGAACTGTGAAACCCTGTACCGAAAGAGCCATAGAAAGTGTCACGTATGTTGTTCCGCTCTTGTAGGTGCAATCCGGAGTCACGGCTGGTTACGTTGACGTTTTTGTACCCTTGTAAGCATGCCGACTCAACCGCCAGTGAACCCGGATTGCAGCTTCTACTTAACCGCCGAGGACTCCTCGACTACCAAATGTAGTGTAGCCCGGTAGAAGGCTAACTTTGCGTGGACCCAACGTCCAATGTACGTAGAGCTGCGAGCCTCATGGAAGAGCTTCTTCGTTTTGCTACCCAAAGCACAGAGGCTCAGTTCATGGATCGAACCACGCCAAAATGCTCAGGAAAACAATTTGACGCCTGTTTGCCCAAAATCTTGGAAAAACAGCAAATCTAGCCACCCAAAAGACGATACTGAACGAGTTACATGTGGTAGCGATTGCATCTTTTGATCTCATGGGAAAACTACGTTCCACAAAGGAGAAATCTCGCAAAATAACCGGGCTTCCACGAGGAGAAGAAACCTGCAAATGAGAAGCAGTCTTCAAAACAACCAAGTCAGGAAGCAAACAAGCATGCAACAAAAGTTCCGTCACTCCTTGGGCTCAAACCCGTACAGAGATGAAATCTCCTAACCTCTGTAGCACCACACCTCTCTGCTCCCCACTTTCAGAGGCGGAAGAGACAGTAAGGAAATGCCTGTCCACTGGCTACCTCAGTCCTCTATCNCGTTGACGTTTTTGTACCCTTGTAAGCATGCCGACTCAACCGCCAGTGAACCCGGATTGCAGCTTCTACTTAACCGCCGAGGACTCCTCGACTACCAAATGTAGTGTAGCCCGGTAGAAGGCTAACTTTGCGTGGACCCAGCGTCCAATGTACGCAGAGCTGCGAGCCTCATGGAAGAGCCACCAAAAGGAGAGTATCTTCGTTCTGCTACCCAAAGCACAGAGGCTCGGTTCATGGATCGAACCACGTCAAAATGCTCAGGAAAACAATTTGACGCATGTTTGCCCAAAATCTTGGAAGAACAGCAAATCTAGCCACCCAAAAGACGATAGTGAACGAGTTACATGTGGTAGCGATTGCATCTTTTGCTCTCATGTGAAAACTACGTTCCGCAAAGGAGAAATCTCGCCAAAAAGCAGACTTCCATGAGGCGAAGAAACCTGCAAATGAGAAACAGTCTTCATAACAACCAAGTCAGGAAGCAAACAAGCATGCAACAGGAGTTCCCTCACTCCTTGGGCTCAAACTCGTCGTACAGCGATGAAATCTCCTAACCACCACACCTCTCAGCTCCCCACTTTCAGAGGCAGAAGAGACAGTAAGGAAATATCTGTCCACTGGCTACCTCAGTCCTCTATCAGCACCTGTCCATAATAGCACTTGCAGAAACCTGGCTCACACCAGATGTCCCTCACACGGAGATCCCGATGAACGGCTAGTCATCGTTTTGAGCGTTAGTTTTAATAGTTCCTCTGAAATGTTTGAACTCAGTAAGTCGTACTTCTTTCAGCAGATTCACTGCTACACACTTCCTGGTTGTTTGCAGTTTTATGTGTTGAATATGCAGTGAGGTCTGACACTTGTTCACCGGTGTTGTCTTGCTGGATTTTTATATACCTGAATATTTGCTGTGTGTATTGTGAAAACCACAATGTGATGTCTTTTCGATGCGTACTAGACTGGGCTTGAACTCATATCGGTCAAAGGCTGCAGACGGCACACGTGCTTCCTCGTGATGCGCGTTGAAGAATGTGGTACAAAACAAAACACGAGGGAGACAGTGAATGACCGCTATAAAATTTTTAGTATTCCATTTGGTAATCTTGAGACACTGATGGTGAATAGTGAAAAAGAAACTGTGCTCACCGGATATTTAGGCCAGGATCTTGAACGCATCTATGAAGCCAAGGTCAAGAGGGGTTTCGAGGAGTATAAAATTTTGAACCGATCAGCTGTCGGCATGCGATCCATGCACAAGTCAGTAGCCTGATTTGTTCGTTGTGCACAAGCCGGAAAGTGCGCAAATTTGAACCGAGTTCATGCACAAGCCAGGTGGTTCCGATTTACACAGGTCTTATATTAGTGAGGGGCGGTAATTCTAGGGCATATATTTGTTAGTCTGTTCATTACGACTTTTAAAAGCGAGGTTGCGTATTTAAAGACCGGAAACTCGGTGTTACCTCAATACAAGTGGAATTGATATTTCATCACCTTGCGCTAAAATGTTTAAGGCACGCGTTTTTCTTTCAGCCCGCGCACGGAAATCTGCATTTAGGGTCGCAATCCTTTCTTCGGTGCAGTTGACTTGGCTTTCCCACGTCCTTTGAGAGAGTTTTGTCATCCTACAACTGGTCATTTCGATTAAACGACAGTGGAGACCTTATAATCCTGAAACATCGATTTACCCTCCGTTTTTGGAACTGTAATTGCCACTTTTGCAGGAAGTCTCCTACAATGTATTTGGTAAAGAATCGTCCTGTCTAATAATTACAAGCCGACGTTATTATGTATCTTCTTCAGAGGTAAGCAATGGTAGCACCTAGTAGATAACGGCAAGTAGGTTTCCAGCTTTACATTTTATAAGGAATATTCTTTTCATTCTCCAACTGCTTAAACGGCAACCCAACATTGGGCAGTGCTCCGAAACGGAAATGAGTGCACCCCACACTAGTCTCTCAATACTGCAGCAATCAGCTCCATTCCAGTCATGCCACCAGCACGTAGTTTTCCGGGTTCAGCACTTTCACTAACGGGGTGAAACTTACCATGAAAACAGCAAGTAAAACGACTGCGTAACGCGCATATGGCTAAGCCACACGCTATCCCTCCACACGTATTTTACTATATATGTGTATCTTTTACATTATGTGTACATGTTTGTTGCAGGAAACTTTATGGGTACACGCAGCGACCATAAAGCGAAGATTCAGTTTTTCTTTTAGCTTCTGTCATGAACCAGCACGCCGGAAATCGAAACGTAGGAACGATCACACAGCGTAGAATAACGTAGCGCATAAAGGCAATGCAGCGCCAGAGCCCCGTTAGACAATGTACACATGTTGCATCACGGTTGCCACTGCCGTACCACTTTGAGGGGGGATGGATTTTTATAACGGATCACCCACCCAAACCAACACAACCAGCCTAATGGTAACGTAAATGTGAGTTCATTATAATGACAAAAGCGGCAAATCAGCGCACAGAATAGTTGATGGAACCTTGTAAATTTTTTCAGGGTTTATAAAACGTTTTATAATTTTCAGGATTTCGCGAACCGTTCTTGATCTGGCACAAAATGGCAAGCTGTAAAACCCGTAAACAACAATTGATTATATGCATGATAGAAAACTACTGGACTGTAAAATGTTTGTGGCGAGCAGGGCAACGAAAATGACGCTCTCGCACCTCCGGTGCAACTTGCTTAACTTTGACGCAATGCTAATCGATCCACCGAACGAAGTAGTCACACTACACCCAATAAAACTGCTTAGGTTATTGGGATTATTTTGGCAGCAACAGAAGCAAACGGTTTTTCGCCGTCGGGCGCGACGATACGTTTTTGCAACGTGCGTCGCACCTGCCCGTATTCTAATGTCCCTGATGAACGCTGTTTCCAGGAAGGCACGACTGCTCAGATCCACAGCTTCCCTTTTGTAGTGCTGGCTAACGACGCGTCCCTGCCAGCGGTGTTTGCCTCATGGCCGAACGCTTTTGTTTATGGAACTTGAGGATTCGAATAAAAGGAGCGGCAGACTTAGCAGTCGAGGCTTTGGCAGCAATGGCTCGAGTTGATTGCTGTTGAGGCAATTATTTCGGGATTCGGGAAACTGGGCAAAGGCACCTGCTGCAACCGCACACTACTCGCTAGCTGTTCAGTATGTTTATCTAACCCTGCTATTTCAGCCTTGGAAAAGTCCCCGCCTAAACTTAAAAAACTTCCAAATAGCTATAAACAGCCCTTCAACCAATGGTTGGCTTAAAGCCCTCATCCAAAGGAGCCTCACTACATTCTACTGAGGACGATATATGTTGGTTGCCACTTGGTCCCTTCACAAGGCTGGATGTAAGCCAGCGACCTGTGCTGAAGCTTACCGACAGGTCCCACTGCTCAACACGGCAAGCCTTTACCATGTGACGAAAGGTTAACCGCCATTGGTCACTAAATGAACAAGCACCTTTCAGACATCGATCTGAGCTCACTAAACGGTCGTCCGATAATTCTAGCTAGTCACTACCGCTTTCTCCTTCTGTATCGTTATTACTGCTATCTAAAACTAGATTCCGAGCAAACGACGTCAGACAGTTTAAAGGGCTTAAAGCGCGATTTCCTGAGAACGCCTTGTCTGTACCTATCAATAAGCCGCGATACACTGGCGTAATGTGTTTATTTTGTAGAAGCAAAGTACGTTTCAAACTGGCCCTCACAAAATCTGACTATATAATCTATTACGTTGACATTGAAATCCCCCATGTTTATTCCGTCTGTATTTGTAATCTCGCCCCATTTTTGTGTCGAGTGTGTATATATGAACTGACGTTTGTTTGTCCTGAACACTTCACCTATTTAGCCTTGAGGTCATCTGGCCATTTGTAGCTGAATTTGCACGTGTGACTGCCGCACGTGAGAACCTCTTCGCTCCCTTTGGTTTGTGCTTTTGTAGTCCAAGTGGACCGTTTGTTTTGGACGCGTATCTGCTGTCGCGGTCTGTATAATTTGTGAACTTGTCATGCGCTAATAGTATAGAAACCCAGTTTCGACTTTGTTTTGCCTACCCGGAGGTTCTGGTATTGCGTGTCACTCGGAGATATCGTTCGCTCATTACAATATTAAACATCTTACGTCGTCCTGTTCGAGGTAAGGATGTCAACTTCTGGGACGATTGTGGAAGAACCCGGGTCCAAGGATGCAGAAATGATTGAAGCTGCGGAGGAAACAATTGCAATGCAGTTTGCTTCGTCCCCCGGTTCTTGTAAGTCACTTTGTGCATCCAGTCGTAAAAGTAGTGTAGTCAAGAAAGCTTTAAGGATTGCCCAGTTCCAGGAGTATCGGTTTAACCGAGAGGTCGAGCTCCATCGGGCCCTCTTAGGGGCACATAACAAAACCGAGTAAGCCAAGATTGGGCCGAAGGCCGAAGAGGACTCACTAGATGAAGTCTGGAAACCAGTGGACTCAAATGAATGATTAATGCGGTACGTGAAACCATGTCAGATGGAGGAAAGACCCCTAGGATATGGTGATGATATCAGAGGGCCATCTCCAGCGCCAAAACGGGCCATTTTCTCTACTCCATTATCAGCCACAATGAACCTACCAAAGGTGGAACTACCGCACTCTTGTGGTAATCCGTGTCATCACTGGAAGTTCATCCGCCAATTTGCGGTATACATCGAGAGCAAGGTGCAGGACGCCGGCCAGGAGCTCCTTTATCTGATCCACTACTGTCAAGGCGACGCGAAGGCGGCCATTGAAGAATGTGTGATGCAACCGCCGGAAGCAGCATATTCCAGGACTCGGGAGATTTTACGCAATCTCTTTGTTCAGCATCATATTATCGCTCGCTGTCTACTAGAAAGCTTGTTTTGATTTGCACGTTAGACCGCTGGGGCTGCCAGGTCTTTGTCGGACTTGTGTACAAAAATGCGCAGATGTAAAATTGCGCCGACGCAAATGTGTTACGTCTCAGACTCCCACTGACTAGCGGTTGTAGAAAGAATTGTGCGTTCTGTTCTCTCGCCATTGCAGCACGAATAGGCTGAGGTGGCAGATAAGATATCTCTGAGTGGCCGGGGCGCAACGTTCACAGGCTTGATGGGGTTTGTGAACATGCGCTCCAGAGTTGCAAGGATTCGGTTTGAGCAACTTGTTCGAGAGGGGGACGTAAGATGCCCTCCTATAACGCTGACTTCTACCAACCAAGCCCTAGACGGAATGGTTTTACCAGCTTCCTGACCAACATCAGCCCAGAGGCAGACGGTCGTCCAAGTGCTTGCGCACTGTGTTCACAGCCCCACCCAATTTTCACTTGCCAGCGCTTTCTCTCTATGAAAGTTTCTGACAGATGGAAATGCATACGGGGGCATAATGCATGCTATGCCTATTTAGGAAACTCCCACATGCCTAAGGATTGCAAGCCAGTAGTTCGAAGCGGCTAGCCGGGTTGCAGGGGACGGCATCACAGGATGTTACATGCATCAAAACCCGGAAACAGCTTTGACATCCTCAGAGAAGGAAGTTTTCTGTGCCTTAACTCGAGGTAGTCGGCTTCCGGCACGTTTAGAAGTTATTTCTGTCAAGCTTGACATTTCTGCAGGAAAGGTGACGACGCGCGCTTTTTTAGATGCTGGGCCTGACAGAACGCTAGTAAAGCGGGATCTTTTGGTGAAAAATGGGGTCAGGCTGCTACTCATGTCTATAGCCTTTGATACACTGGGTGGCTCCATGGGATGCACATCGGAATCTAATAATATCAGGCTTTTATCAAGGGATGAAAGCCAGTCGATAGACATTGACAAGGCATTCGTCGTTGACAGCTTACCCATGCGAGTTGTCCCACCTATCACGGAAGCGGCTCGCAAGTGGCCACACTTTAAGGAAGTCGCCTCCGACGAACTGACTAAAGAAGATGTGGGAATCTTTATTATGTGTCACGTATCTGAAGCGCGCTGGGTCTTCGACCAGAGCCTGGGGGCAGAAAGCGGCCTTTTGCTGTGAAAACTTTACTCGGTTGGATACTTCTTGGTCCGATGAAAAACGGGACCAAGCAGGTCGTCAGTCATTGTATAGCCGGGTGCACTCAGGTCATCCAGGAGCATTTGCAGCTACTGTACAACTCATAATTCGCAGACACTTAAGCATCGACCACTAGTCTCTCTCTGGAGGATCAAAGAGCACTGTTGATAGCGGAGACTGGTGCGGTGCGAGTAAGTGAGCACTATCAGCTACCAGTCCCATAGAAGGATAATGCGCTTGCCTTAGCAGACAACTTCCAGGTGGCCAGAAAACCTCTAGATAATCTGAAAATTGGACTGTGCAAGGATCGTGTTTTACACGGAAAGTACGATAAGATGCATCGCGCGGACCTAGAGAAAGAATACATTGAACGGATGGCGGATGCTCCCACACTGTCAATAAATTCAAAGCAACGGTACCTACCACACCATCCGGTTAATAACCCAAAAATTCCGGAAAAGCTTTGGGTGGTAGTTGACTGCGCTGCCAAATGTCATGATGTGTCCTCGAACGATCGCCTGTATCGGGGCCCTAATTTAACCAAAAAACTTGTGAATGTTATGCTGGGCTTTCGTTTAGAGCAAGTTGCTGTGGCAGCAGACATCGAAGAGATGTTCCTACAGGTCAAGGTTTACCCCTGTATTACAGGTGCTCTGAAATTCCTGTTTTGGGAAAACTATGAGTTCTTTGGAGAACCTACCGAATTTCAATGGGTGTCTCACCCGTTTGAAGCCACCTCCTCCTCTTTCTGTGCAACGTTTGCCTTACAAAAGACCGTTGAGGAACTTGGCTCAGATTATGCCGTCTCAACCTGCAGCGCATTGGACAGTAACGTATACGTTGATGACCGCCTAAAGTCATTGCCGGACTCTGTAACGGCTAAGTGTTTCGTTCAGGAGACAAGTGCTCTGCTCTCAAAGGGAGGTTTCAGCATGAATAATTGGTCTTCCAATGATCATGCGTTATTGTCTGCCATTGATCCAACCGAACTAACGTCCGGTGAGAGAAACATAACTACGGAACCATTGCCCATGGAGCGTGTTCTAGAGGTGCAGTGTACACTTGTGATTACCTTTAATTAACCGACAAAAGCACCAACACGCAGAGGTGTTCGCTCCTGTATAACTTAACTGTATGATCCTCTGAGCTTCATTTCTCCGTGGGTAATGCCAGGCAGGTGTCTACTGCAATCCCTGTGCAAAGGTGGACTTGTTTGGGACGAGCCGTGAAATGACACCGATCTCACTCGCTGGGTTAATAGGTTATCTAACCTTCGTAGCCTCCGTAACTTGCGATTTCCTAGGTGTATAAAGCCTAGAGAGGTTGATGGTATTCCACACGCCGAACTTCATGTATTTTGTGATGTATCGGAGACCGCATATAGTGCGGTAGCATATTCTCGCTTCCTGGTGGACGCTGAAGTTTTCGCTTGTCTTCTCGAAGGCGCGGGTGGCCCCCTCAAGTCCGTTTCGATAACAAGGTTAGAGTTAACAGCCATGTGCTTGGCAGTCCGAGTAGCAGATTTAATTAGGGCAAGTACGAAGGACTACCTCCATCGTATGGTGTTTTGGACGGACTCAGTGATTGTTCTGTACTACATCCACAACGCATCATCCAGATTTTGTACCTTCGTTGCAACTCGCCTAACAGGCATTCGTGATATATCGTCACCAACTCAATGGGGACACGTGTCATTGGGGGACAATCGAGCTGAAATTGCCCTTCGTGGGACACATAACCTTGGTCCAGTGCGTAGATGATTAATAAGACTTAGATTTTTACTCAAACTAGAGAGTAACTGACCTTCACAGCCTCAATTGACGCGGCCCCATGGTGTCCAGCTGAAAAGCCTTGTAGAACAGGTTAACCGACTGGAGGGAAATGACGTCATGTGCCCGTTAATGTCTCGGTTTTCTTGTTCGATAAAGCTACAGAAGGGCGTGGGTTGGTTGCGGCGTTACAGACAATATCTATTGACT